TGAGGCTACTCAAAATCAATATGGCATACACCATCGTCCTCATCCAGTCATCCTTCACGCTTATGTTGTGCATCATTTACACATGCAGTCATCACCCCCACGATGTTTGCAGTCCATGAAAAATATTCCCGTGACCTTGGAGCAATCTCTTCGCATTATTCGTAACAACTCCTTGGATTTGGGCAAAGAGATTTTTTTTTGTTACCACAGGGGGCTGGAAGATCATCTTCACAATGGCGTCCACTGAAAATACATATCATCACCAAGATAGTATCGTGTGGTGTAGTTGTTCCCATTAAGGTGTACATCAGTACAAGCATACCGCACAAGTAGGTTGATTATTCTGGGCTTCGTCTCAGTTAACTTGCTCTGAGCTGCTCCCGGTGTCAAGGAAGCACCGACTTTTCTTCCTCCCCGTGCTGTCCGAGCAAGACAGAGACACGTGAAAGAAGTAATCGTCATGTTCTCCAGGCTACTCAAAATCAGTATGACATACACCATCGTCCTCATCCAGTCATCCTTCACGCTTATGTTGTGCATCATTACACATGCAGTCATCACCCCCACGATGTTTGCAGACCATGAAAAATATTCCCGTGACCTTGGAGCAATCTCTTCGCATTATTCGTAACAACTCCTTGGATTTGGGCAAAGAGATTTTTTTTGGTTACCACAGGGGGCTGGAAGGTCATCTTCACAATGGCGTCCACTGAAAATACATATCATCAGCAAGATAGTATCGTGTGGTGTAGTTGTTCCCATTAAGGTGTACATCAGTACATGCATACCGCACAAGTAGGTTGATTATTCTGGGCTTCGTCTCAGTTAACTTGCTCTGAGCTGCTCCCGGTGTCAAGGAAGCACCGACTTTTCTTCCTCCCCGTGCTGTCCGAGCAAGACAGAGACACGTGAAAGAAGTAATCGTCCCGGCCACAGATCAAAGCAGGCTGTCCTAGGACAGTTGGACTCAGTAACGACAAATTTTGTAGCAATTTTGTGAATTTACTTGTAGCAATTCTGTAGGGCAAATTGATACCAGAATCAGTGATGAGTTTTCCTAGTTTTCGAGTGCTACTGTATAGCCTTCGATTCGGCAACAGCAGCACGCAGGCCATCGGCGTCTGACCATATATGTTGGTGCAGCGGCGCAGGGCAACGACCAGGCAGAGGTCAGAGGCCAGAATGGCCAAACCAGACCAGCAGTCCGATGGAGTCAGATCTTGTAGATAAATGTTGGGTGGCCCAACGCCTCCAACCCATCACGAAACCGGGTGCGGCCGCCAGCGTAGGTACGTGCAGGCTGCTTGACCAAAGCTCGCAGCCGCTGGCCAGTTTCACCCATGCATCTACCTGCATTAGCCTTGCCTGGCCTGATAGTAATGCCGTTTTGGCACCAACCTCTACTCTCTCACACGTCCCACTCAGCTGGCGGCACCTCCCCACCAAATCAAGGCTACGTCTACGTACTCCCTGTTGCATGCTCGCACACGCATGCTACACTGTTTCCGCAAGCGAGCTGGCCAGCCCGCGAACCTGCATGCACACTCCGATCATGTGTAAATCAAGCATGGTTCACCTGGCTAAGGTGAGCAAGCCGAGCGTACCGTGTAGAGTAGTACGTGCTAATAATCGGTGTGTGCCGCGCGGTGCAGGGCGTACCACGGTCGGGCGCATGCGCCGTGCGCCTTCAATGCGTGCGCATTGAATGGCTCCCCCGGCCCCCATTGTTAGGTGCGAGGCCAGCCGCGAGCGGCACGCGGCGCGCTCCCGCGCGCGCCTGGGCATGCATGCGTGCATGCAAAGCCGGCGCCACTGACGCGCCGCTGGTTCGGTTCGGAGCGGAGCGGTCCGCCCGCCCGCCCAACGGCTCCAGCGGCGATTAATGGCCTGACCCGGACGTTCCCCCCACGGACGAGTGCCCATCGGTCCGGTGGTGACCTGCACGTCAAACCTTCTTCATGCCCCGCCTCCATATATCTCGCGCACACGCAGGGCGGATGGGGTACGGGCCGCGCTCGGGCGACTGCCTTGGCCTACTCCAGCTGCAGTGATCACTGGCCGCCTTCCCAGTAGCTCCCAAGTCGTCGCGACAGCGGCAAGCCAATTCATTGCCAACCATCTTGCTCGCCCCGGCCGGCCGCTTCTATATAGCCTCGTCCTGCCGAGCACATTCCATATTGCACCACCTCTCCCGTCCTCAGCTCTCACTGCGGTCCGGCGATCGAGCTTGGCTAGCTTGGCGATGGAGGCTGGGACGTGGGCGGTGGTCGTGGCGGCGGCGGCCGCGTACCTGGCGTGGTTCTGGCGGATGTCGCGCGGGCTCAGCGGGCCCAGGGTGTGGCCGCTGGTGGGCAGCCTGCCGGGGCTCCTGCAGCACGCGGAGGACATGCACGAGTGGATCGTCGGCAACCTGCGCCGCACCGGGGGCACCTACCAGACCTGCATCTTCGCGGTGCCGGGCGTGGCCCGCCGCGGCGGGCTGGTCACGGTCACGTGCGACCCCAGGAACCTGGAGCACGTCCTCAAGGCGCGCTTCGACAACTACCCCAAGGGCCCCTTCTGGCACGGCGTCTTCAGCGACCTGCTCGGCGACGGCATCTTCAACTCCGACGGCGACACCTGGGTGGCGCAGCGCAAGACGGCCGCGCTCGAGTTCACCACCCGCACCCTCCGCACCGCCATGTCCCGCTGGGTCTCCCGCTCCATCCACCACCGCATGCTCCCCATCCTGTCCGACGCGGCGGCCTCCGGCGCGCACGTCGACCTGCAGGACCTCCTCCTCCGCCTCACCTTCGACAACATCTGCGGCCTCGCCTTCGGCAAGGACCCGGAGACGCTCGCCCGTGGCCTCCCCGAGAACGCCTTCGCCACCTCCTTCGACCGCGCCACGGAGGCCACGCTCAACCGCTTCATCTTCCCGGAGTTCGTGTGGCGGTGCAAGAAGTGGCTGGGGCTCGGCATGGAGACCACGCTGGCGCGCAGCGTCGCGCACGTCGACCGGTACCTCTCCGCCGTCATCAAGACGCGCAAGCTCGAGCTCGCCGGCAAGATCGACGGGTCGGGTGCGACCACGCCGCACGACGACCTCTTGTCGCGCTTCATGCGCAAGGGGACCTACTCCGACGATTCCCTGCAGCACGTGGCGCTCAACTTCATCCTCGCCGGCCGCGACACCTCCTCGGTGGCGCTCTCCTGGTTCTTCTGGCTGGTCTCCACCCACCCCGACGTGGAGCGCAAGATCGTGCGCGAGCTCTGCGCCGTCCTGGCGGCGTCCCGCGGCGCAGACGACCCGGCATTGTGGCTGGCCGCCCCGTTCGACTACGAGGAATTGGACCGCCTAGTGTACCTCAAGGCGGCGCTCTCGGAGACCCTCCGGCTGTACCCGTCCGTGCCGGAGGACTCGAAGCACGTGGTCGCCGACGACTACCTCCCCGACGGCACGTTCGTGCCGGCCGGGTCGTCGGTGACGTACTCCATCTACTCGGCCGGGCGCATGAAGACGGTGTGGGGCGAGGACTGCCTCGAGTTCCGGCCGGAGCGGTGGCTGTCGGCCGACGGCACCAAGTTCGAACCGCACGACTCGTACAGGTTCGTGGCGTTCAACGCCGGGCCGCGCATATGCCTGGGCAAGGACCTGGCGTACCTGCAGATGAAGAACATCGCCGGGAGCATCCTCCTCCGTCACCGCCTCGCCGTGGCGCCGGGGCACCGCGTGGAGCAGAAGATGTCGCTCACGCTGTTCATGAAGCACGGGCTCCGGATGGTGGTGCGCCCGCGCGACCTCGTCCCGACCCTCGACGAGCTCCGCGCCGCGGCCGCGGCGCCCGCCGTCGCGGCCTGCGCGTAGAAGATCAGTAGACCCCCCCGGTGCCGTGCATGCATGCTCCACGTACGGTTCGTGCCATATGGGGAAGGTCCGGAGGACAAAGTTGGAAGTGGCAAGAAAATTGTGTAGATACACGAGTCCAACACACCAACAGGTACTACTTAGTAGGTGAGTATATCTACATCGGGATAAAAGGATCTGTCTAAAAATATCCAAATCACAAAGAAAAGGAAAACACAGGGGCAGCAAACAATAATGCTCCTCTCCTGTACTGCAATGTACTGTACTGCGTGTGACAAATTAGAAGTGTGAGCACCAAATTCGTCTGGGCGGTTTGTGTTAATGCGCCGCCGATTGTTGTTGTTAGCAGAGAGGTTGCGTGTGCAAACGCAAGGTGAAACATATACAACTCGATCGAGTTATTTTCTGTATGGACCCGTTGGTCCGGGCTTATTAATTCCCCTTTCTATTTCTGGCGTCTTGATTGCCGTTAGGTAGCTACTGATGGCACGAGGTCGACATGGAGATCAATGGACATCGCTGTTTCCATCTTAAGGTTGTTTGAGGCTCGTGCACGAGACCGAGAGAGTGACACTTTTTTTCCCGCTTTGATGGTGAGACTTCCTTTGTCGAGGCGATACATCAGACTGTGTTCTCCAGGACGGTGCATCAAGGAGGCAATGCAAACTGATAAAGAGTTCCTACGCGCCTTTGCATTCCCATTTGATGGGTTTCCGGTCGAAAATTTATGTTCACGAGTTGGGAGGGCCTATGGATCAGGCACCTGATTTTTTCGTTGTTTTAGTCACTTTATTTCTGAATCGTCCGACCAGTATCCAACCAACAACATACAACACAGAAGGAAAGAGGGAAAATGTGATTGAAATTATTTTATTTTCAGTCACTTTTTTCCGTACATGTGCTCAGGTACACTCCATGGAGCTCGTCCTTTGCAACGCCACACTCATGGATATTCTTCAAGTATGTATAAATTTTCATCAACTAATTTGATTATTTGCATGCTGCACAAAAAAGACAAATATCTGACACAAATACAACAAAGAAAAAGCCTATTTTTAATCTGTGTATTTGTTTTTTTGTATACATCACATATGAATAAATATGTTTATGAAAATTTATACACGTATACTACATGTATATGTCTACATGAAAACATTTTTTAGATTTTTTTTGAGTTATGGAAAAAGTATTTTGGCTGAAAAATATACATAGAGCTCAATGGAGCTCGGCCTCTGCAGCCACTTTTCGATGCTTCCATGCGCTTGCTTATTATATCATGTAGACATGTACAAGCACTCATTTTGCTTTATCTCCAAAAAAAACACTCATTTTTCTATGAGATCCATAATGTATTGATTTAACTTAAGTTTCTATTAGAAACAAATTTGCAAACATGGCAAGTAATTACAAATATTGGCACTAGCTTGTACACATCTCCATCTCTTTTTTCTACGTAACATAAAAGATATTCCCTTTGTCCTTGACAAGAAAATGACATATTCAATAATATAATAGACTTATCTGGAATATATATATAAGCGCATAATATATTTGGTCATAGCCGAGGCGAACATGTATGCATCGTACCTCAAAGAAGATAGTTTATTTCTAAAGAAGAAGAAAAATATATTTGTTGTGCTTACTGACAAAAACAAACGGAAACTTTCTTTCAAAGAAAGAATGAATTATGAGAATGTTTACACCTAAAAGAAACAACAAGACACTATTTTTAAAACATTGTGCAACTATACCTAACAGGAACAAATCATAGTGGATGGGTGTTTAGCCCAGTGGCAAGAGCGCGGTTGTGCGCCTTGGCAGAGCCAATCCCGTGGGTGGATTTTTCATGGATTTAAAACTTGATGTCCCACACCTTTCTTTTTAATTTAAATGCCGCGGGGCTCCTCTCCGGTCGGTCTAGTATTATGAACAAATCATAAAGACATGTAAAAATCTTTTCTTTTATGTGAGAATTAGAACATACTGCAAACTTGCACATAAAATATATAAAACTTGCACTCTTCTGTACTGCTTTTTTATAAATTAGTGCAACTTCAGTAATATTTATTGTACAAAAATGGATCAAATTTGAAGTTCCAAATACAAATTTTAATAGTGTCACATGATTGCAACATCAAACCACCGCCGAACAAAAAGAATAGAATAAAATACTAAAAAATATTATCGAACAAAGATGAAATGCGGAGAAACTGTAATCTAGATTATAAATAAAGAAAGATAAATAATAATAATAATAATAATAATAATAATAATAATAATAATAATATAATAATAATAATAATAATAATAATAATAATAATAATAATAATAATAATAATAATAATAAACATAAGGAAGGAATAATTCTAAAGGTGATTTTTCCTCAAATGAGAAATAAAAAAGTTGGAAACATACAAGATCAAGTTTGTTATACAATGGAAATAAATCATTGGACTTGTGTTGTCCAAAAGCAGAAAAAAGGACAGACCCAAGCCTCTGTATAATCCTTCCCTAGTCCCCATATGGCTTGGGATCTTCTAGCATTGTTGAAGAAAGAAATGCACAAAAAATAAATAGAAATGACAATGAAATTGAATGCAAGGAAGAAAAAAGAATCTAGGAGCGGGGTAACCATAAGAAAGAATGTAGAAAAAAAAGAAGAGAGAAGAAAAAATCCCTTCCAAGAAAAAAAATCTAATAGTGGTGTTACCTGGTAGAAGAAATAAAAAATCATAGAAGGACACAATTCGTTTTAAGAAAGAGAGTAGTTTAGCCTAAAAGAAAGAACAAGGACTTTAGGGAAAAAAGAGCAAACGAACTTTAGAAATGGCAATTGATATTATACAACTATGCCTCACATGAACTCTTTTCTTATATGTAGGAAGTAGAATATATTGATAACTTGCACACAAAGTTATACTCTTTCGTACTGTGTAAGAACAAGTGTAAGATAGTGCAACTTTAACAATAATATTAATTTAAGTATATTAATAAAAAGTGAATTCCATTTTATGTTCAAAACTCAAATTTAAGTAGTGTCACACAACTGCAGCATCAAAACCATGGCATTTGTTGTTCGCTCTAGAACTTTTACTACCCATCTCAGCTTTTCTTAGTTTACCTGTGTTTTCTACAAAGTAGCCCAATCATTCAGCCATCTAGCAATCATGTTAAATAGGGACACAAGGTCAGAATTTTTCTTATTATCAAATATTGTTCCGTTTCCAATCTTCCAAATATTTCAAAATACAACAAAAACACCAGCAACCCCCAAGTGTTTATCATCATAGTGGAATTTGTGGATCCAATTGTCAAGAAGAGCATCAATATTATCAGGAATATCAATGATATTAAAGGAACATTTGATGATATTCTAAAGCATTCTAGCTAGAGAGCAATTCATAAGCAAATGATCAATGGGCTCATCCATTCCACAAAAGGGGTGATGAAGTCAAATCCAACAGATCTCAGAGAGGGGGCCCTGAGCTGGTAGCCTTGGGACGATGGTAACAAGGACACATGATTTACCCAGGTCCGGGCTCTCTTGAAGAGATAATACACTACATCCTACTTTGATTGTATTGATTTGGAGGGTGTACAAGTTACTGGTTAATCTACCAAGAGATCGTGTATATATGAGAGTTGTCGTCTACGTTCCTCACCCATCGGCTTATATAGATACCAGGGGTGCCTGCCTACCTGGGGTTTACGCATATATAGGCTAATTATATCTAGCATAATCATGACGAAGACAAACCTCCAAGTCTTGGATTACGCGCCAAGTCTTTGGAATCTTCCATGCATCTTGGCTCTCCTTAGCCTGACGAACGTATCCCACGGGTTGATAATCTTAGGGGTCCTCGGCCCGGCCCACATGGTCGGGAGCTGACGTGGCCAGAATTTCAAATTTCCCACCGTCGGCTCGTTCTTCGGTCCCACCTGTCGTTCTCTTTAGATTGTTGGTTCAATCCTCACCGTCCATCTGGGTGGTCCCCGAGAAACGGTTTATGTGAATACGTCTTCACGTTCGTGAAAGTACATGTAGTCCCCATGTGTGGTTTTGGTAATTAACTAATGACAGTCCTTATGGACTAATGTTTACGTTGAGATATGAATTTGAAGGTTAGTCCCATCAGAAAATGATTGAAGAATAATGGAAGACTACTCCTTTGAACCAAAAATTACATCGAGATGATCAAAATGAAGTTCATTGGAGTATCTTAAGGGATGCCATGCTTAGGGCTTTGATTTGAGCCATAATGGATCGAGATCTTAAAAGGATGACTTGAATGATGAATTCTAGGAGTGGCTCAAAGATATGATCATAATGGACTCATGTGTTGAGTCATGATTGATCAAGTATTCAAGCAAGCTATTCAAGTGAATAATTCAATATACCCTTCAAGACGTCAAGATTGAACATGGAGTAAAGATATCGGTTGACCAAGATGAAGCTCGAAGATCAAACTCTAAATGGTCAACGCACGAGCGCAAATGATGCACCACATAAGATCTTTTGGTATGATAAGAAATTATCAATTGCACTCTGTGTACTAACCCATATTATGCGTTGTCTATGTTTTTGAGGGTTAGGTGATTCTCATGGACTCGCATCGAGAGAGAGATTTCAATTGTCTATGAGGGGATGACATCAAGTGTTGGTGATCATGGTTGATAAGGGCAAGTTCAAGATAACCATCACGAGGGATTACATGCTTGAAGCTTGTGGATGATCACATGATGGACAAGTGAAGATGAATACAAAGCAAAGCTTCCCATATTGTGTATGGGGGAGCTACTTGAAGACTTCACCAATGTCTTGCCTTCAACTTGAGCCAAGAAGAAGCATCAACGTCAAGCTCAAGTGAAAGGCTTGATTCAAAGGTATTAGTTCCTTTGGCGTTAGTGTTGTGGAGAGATGACCACCGAAGAAACATATACACTCAAGAACGGATTCTCGATAGCTATGTAGTATAGCTCTTTTATATTTCTTGAGTTAT